TGCGATCATGGATCTTGCAGTGAACTTTTCTTGTCTGTTTTTTAAAAACAGATTTCTTAGCTCTAGCTGGTTTGGCTCAGTGGATACAGTGTCGGCTGTGGACTGGAGGGTCCGGGTTTGATTCCGGTCAAGGGCACGTACCTCGGTCGCAGGCTCCTCCCAGGCCCGGACCCTGGTTGGGGCTCGTGCAGGAGGCAGCCAATCAATCTGTTTCTCTCACATCGATGTTTCTCTCTGTCTTTCCCTCTCTCTTCCAGTCTCTCTAAAAACCAATGGGGAAAATATCCTCGGGTGAGGATTAAAAATAAAAAGATTTTTTTAGCCCCACCTGATTTGGCTCAGTGGGTAGAGCATCGGCCCACAGACTGAAAGGTCTGGGTTCGATTCTGATCAAGGGCACGTAACTCAGTTTGCCGGCTCGGTCCCCAGCCCTGGTTGGGGCACGTGCGGGAGGCAACCAATCACTGTGACATCGATGTTTCTCTCTCTGTGTCCCTCCCCCTTCCTTCCACTCTCTCTGAAAATCAATAGGGAAATATCCTTGGATGAGGATTAACAATAAATAAATAACTTTTTTGAGGGGGGAAAATTTTTAAATTGATTTTTTGAGAGAGAGGAATGGAGAGGGAGAGAGAGAGAAACATCAATGTGAGTGTGGAACATGGATGGGCCGCCTCCTGCACATCCCTGGCAGACCAGGAACCGAACCAGCCATCTTTCGGTGCCTGGGACGATGCCCAATGAACTGAGCCACACCAGCCAGGGCTTGGCTGCTTTTGATGAGAAAGAAGAAGAGCTAACTGGTCCGGAAGTGTTGATGCAGCGGGTGAATTATTTAAGAGGCTCGCGCATACGGTGTGGGCGTTGGAAGCCTGTGTTGAGGAATGAGCAGGAAGGTCATTCTCCGGCCGTGAGGGAAGTCACTGTTTCCCAGAGGGTTCTCCTGGCATCCGAGCAGCTGCCCGGCCCTGCGCCCGGGGAGCGGCAGCCTCCTCACTCTCCTCTCCCCCCTCTTCTCCGCAGTCCCAGCAGAAGTGCATCGTCATCTTCGCCCTGGTCTGCTGCTTCGCCATCCTGGTCGCCTTGATCTTCTCGGCCGTGGACATCATGGGGGAGGACGAGGACGGGCTCTCGGAAAAAAACTGCCAAAATAAATGTCGGTAAGAGGTAACAGACAAAACTTCTCTCTTAGGGGGCGGGCGAGAGCGCCGGGGGGCCCCGGACAGTGGAGAGATGTCACGGCCGCATGTGGTCACCTGAGTTCACTCGCCTCTGGGTCCAACCCAGACTCGCATTTCGACCAGGAGAGAAAAATGAGTCGTGATTTCATTCACTTTACAGTTTGGGCAGGTCCTGTACAGGGGGTGGGGGACAGAATGACAGTCTGCACCAGTCCGCATTTCTGCATCAAGGCCTCTGCTTGTGAGGTTTCCGTCTGTTCTGTGACAGCCAAAAAAGGGGACCCCAAGTGGACGGGGACAGTTTGCTAATTGTTCCATCAAATGGAAGTTAAAAAACACCATCATTGCCAAAACTGGTTTGGCTCAGTGGATAGAGCGTCGGCCTTCAGACTGAAGGGTCCCGGGTTCGATTCCGGTCGGGGGCATGTACCTGGGTTGCGGGCACATCCCCAGTAGGAGATGTGCAGGAGGCGGCTGATCGATGTTTCTCTCCCATCGATGTTTCTGACTCTCTATCTCTCTCCCTTCCTCTCTGTAAAAAAATCAATAAAATATATTTTTAAAAAAAAACAAAAAAACACCATCATCTTCATGCCCAGCCAGTGCGGCTCAGTGGTTGAGCATCAACCTATGAACCAGGAGGTCACGGTTTGATTCCCAGTCAAGGGCACATGCCCGAGTTGTGGGCTCGATCCCCAGTAGGGGGCGTGCAGGAGGCAGCCGATCCATGATTCTCTCTCATCATGGATGTTTCTATCTCTCCCTCTCCCTTCCTCTCTGAAATCAATAAATATATATACTTTTAAAAAACTGAGGTCAACCACAAAATGACAAGTTACTATGAATTAGCGCTTATAATGAATTTTAATGACAATTTTCCCCCGTGGGAAGCATCGGTCTAGGTGCCTCTCCTTTCTGGCTTAAAATCAACCACCCGGTAATGTGCATGTGAGTTTTTATCCTGACTTTTCTGGGGTCGGACGTCTGGCACACACAAAAAGTGTCTGGAAAAGGCCACTGGAGTTTGTTTTCTTTGCAGCTCATGATATATGAGAGTCTAGTTACCAGGCAACTGTATTACATGGAGAACAAAGGATGCAGGAGAGAAATCCGTACACGTTATAGATTTATTCCTTCATGTTCAGAAGGTGTCCCTCAGTATATTTACTTCCCAGACTGGATTTGGGAGAAGAATTGTATTGGGATCATAAAAGCAGTAGAACAATAGCGTTTGTCATTCTCTTCTCCCTGAAAGATCGCAACATAATGTGGACAAGGGGCCAGTGACTCGTACAGGGGAATGGCTCTGCCCTCTCTCTCACCTCACCCTGCAGTGATTACTGCTGGTGCCCGAGACAGTTTTGCTCAGTGGCTAGAGTGTCAGCCTATGGACTGCAGGGTCCCAGGCTCAATCC